GAGTAAAATTGAGTTGAGTTAAATTTAAATTAGATTTTAATGTAAAAAAATTAATTAGTTAAAAGTGATTGATTTTTTATTGAAATTTTTGTATTCAAGCACCCATTCATTAATTATGTCAAGTATATATTTCATTGAGAAAAAAAAAAGTTTTCTAAATATGTGAAATTGCTCGCACGACATGTAACAATCAACCATGAGTCCATGTCGTCATGACGCCCTCACACGCACGCGTGAGCTCACACGGGTGTATCTCTCGCCCACCACACGTTTTTACCAAACGTATTTGCATTTCACCCCACCTTCAAAAACATCTAAAAACAACTCATTCATGACACGTGCCCAGCCTCGGTAACTTTTAAACACCACGAAAAATATCCTAGCTGGATGCCACGTTGTTTTGGACGGTCCCAAGACTAAGACCCTCCCTATATATCTTTCCTCTGTTTTTCTTGTCCTTTTTGTACTGTCAGCTGACTCAGCTCTGTAAGAGGCAGAAAAATGAGTCCAAATTTATATACAGAAGAACCCGCCTCCGGCGCCCGGAATACCGAGGATCCGGCAGCGTCGGACAGATGCTCGGTGGAGGAGGTGGCGCTGGTGGTGCCGGAGACGGACGACCCGACCCTACCCGTCATGACCTTCCGGGCATGGGTCCTGGGCCTGGCCTCTTGCACGATTTTGATTTTTCTTAACACTTTCTTCATCTACAGGACGCAGCCGCTGGCCATTTCCGCCATTCTCATGCAGATAGCGGTGCTTCCGATCGGGAAGTTCATGGCGGCGACCCTGCCGGAGAGAGAGTACACGGTGTTTGGGCGGTGGAGATTTGGGCTCAACCCCGGCCCGTTTAATGTGAAGGAGCACGTGATTATCACGGTCATGGCTAATTGTGGGGTGTCGATTGGGGGTGGTGATGCTTACTCTATAGGGGCCATTACAGTGATGAAGGCTTATTATAAGCAGAGCTTGAGCTTCCTCTGTGCTCTATTGATTGTCTTGACAACACAGGTAATTTTCTCGAATTTGTTTGTATTTTTTTTCCCAATGTCAAAATTTTTCCTTTGTTCTTTTTATTGAGCTTATTTAATTGGGGTTTTTTTTGGTTAAGTTCAGTTGGTGGGCTATGGATGGGCTGGGATGTTGAGGAGATACTTGGTGGATCCAGTTGAGATGTGGTGGCCTTCAAATCTGGCTCAAGTTTCTCTCTTCAGGTTTGTCTTCTTTTTTCCTTTTTTTTTTAAAAAAAATAAATTTCCCTTGCACTTTTCAATCATCACAATGTAGTATGTGATTCATGTTCTTAAGAAAAGGTACCCCTGAGTTAATGTTTTTCCTTATTTCTTTTCAATTCTTTCTTTCTTTCAATTACGACAATCCTATACTTTTTACTCCTTTTTTTATGTTAAAATGGTGATGTGATAGTTCTATAATAAATGCAAGAGAGGTTTTTCCTTTTGTTTTCTTTCAATGTATGAACTTGTAATTCACTAATCTGAGATGACGCAGTTGTCGTTATGGCTTTGGTCGACATCTTGTGACGCTTTAAAAGTAAAAAATAAACAAATCAGATCAGTGTAATATGAGGAACTTTATTCTTTAGTCGAATGGTAGTAATTTGAATCCCTTGATGTAATAATATTCATTACATCCATCTCAGAATCTCCAGTTTCGAGTATTTTTGTCATTACAATCATAAACACAACTTGTCATTATCATTAACATTTCTCTTTCTCAGGGCACTTCATGAAAAGGAACACAAGGCTCAAGGCACGACAAGAATGCGATTTTTCCTCATATCCATGACAGCAAGTTTTATCTACTACTTATTCCCTGGATACCTATTTCAGATCTTGACCTTCTTTTCCTGGGTATGTTGGGTTTGGCCCAACAGCATCACGGCCCAGCAAATCGGGTCCGGTTACCATGGCCTCGGACTGGGTGCCTTCACCCTTGATTGGGCCGGAATCTCTGCTTATCACGGCAGCCCATTAGTCACCCCATTTTCTTCCATTCTGAATGTCATGGTTGGATTTATCATGTTTATATACATCATAGTTCCGATTTGTTACTGGAAGTTCAACACCTTTGACGCCCGGAAATTTCCCATTTTCTCGAATCAACTTTTTACTTCCAGTGGGCATAAGTATGATACCACCAAGATTTTAACCCCACAATATGATCTTAACATTTCGGCTTATGAAAGTTACAGCAAGCTGTATCTTAGCCCGTTATTCGCGCTCTCAATTGGATCAGGATTCGCAAGATTTACTGCCACATTAACACATGTTGCATTGTTCAATGGCAGGTAGACCTTTTGGGTTGTGTGACTAACTGAATGTGCCTTTGATTTTTATTTGATTTTTTCTTTTTTTTTTTCTTTGTAATTTGAGTAGAGATATATGGAGGCAGAGCAAATCTGCTCTGAAGAACGTGAAATTAGACGTGCATGCGAAGATGATGAAAAATTACGAGCAAGTGCCCGAGTGGTGGTTTCTCATTTTGTTGGCAGGCAGCATAGCTTTATCCCTTTTATTGTCGTTTGTGTGGAAAGAAGACGTGCAGCTACCGTGGTGGGGAATGCTCTTTGCATTTGGTTTGGCTTGGATTGTAACACTCCCAATTGGGGTCATTCAAGCTACTACCAATCAGGTATTTTTATATCGATAATTAATGTGTAAGTAAATAATCTTAATCTAATTACAACAACTTTGTTGTGTAGCAACCCGGATACGACATTATTGCGCAGTTCATATTCGGATTTATCCTTCCCGGAAAGCCCATCGCAAATCTACTTTTCAAGATTTATGGTCGGATAAGTACTATTCACGCTCTTTCTTTCCTAGCCGATCTTAAACTTGGGCACTACATGAAAATCCCACCTCGAAGCATGTTCATTGCTCAGGTCCATTCTAGCATCCCTTTCGTCTTCACTCTCATATTAATTAATTTTTATTAAATTATTTTTTTTTCTATCAATTATAATTAGCTTGTGGGGACATTGGTTTCTGGCACGGTCAACCTAGGCGTGTCATGGTGGTTGTTGGGAAGCATAGACAACATATGTGATGTGGACGCATTGCATCCTGAAAGCCCATGGACTTGTCCTAAATTCCGAGTCACGTTTGATGCTTCAGTCATTTGGGGCCTAATTGGGCCCGAGAGACTATTCGGGCCTGGTGGAATGTACCGTAACTTGGTGTGGCTATTCCTTATAGGGGCAGTCTTGCCGATTCCGGTTTGGATTCTGAGTAAAATCTTCCCTCACAAAAAATGGATTCCTCTGATCAATATTCCGGTCATCTCCTACGGTTTTGCGGGCATGCCACCGGCTACCCCTACGAACATTGCCAGCTGGATCATAACCGGGACTCTGTTCAACTATTTCGTGTTCAAGTATCGGAAAAATTGGTGGCAAAGGTATAATTATGTTTTATCGGCCGCATTAGATGCTGGGACGGCTTTTATGGGTGTTGTGCTGTTTTTTGCCCTGCAAAATGAGGGCAAAAATGTAAAATGGTGGGGTTCGGAGCCGGACCATTGTCCTCTAGCTTCTTGCCCGACTGCACCTGGGATTGTTGTTAAAGGGTGTCCGGTTTTCAGGTGAAGATGGATATAGTTTGTGTTTGGAAAGATTAATTATTTGGTTGTCATTATATAGCAAAATTGGAGATTATTATGAAGCTGTAACATCTTTAGTTTCAATACTTTGACATTAAAATAGACTGCATTTTCACATTCACTCGTTTACTTTAGTTATTTATTATCTGTTGTATGTATACATTTCGTTTTCATGTCGGACTATTATACTATATATTTACATTATTATGGACACGCAAACATGTCCACCCAACACATAGCAAGCCCATTTAGCTAGCTAGTGATCAAATCAATAAACTCCACACAATCAATTCTCCCTTTAATTTTTATTTTTAATAATTTCATGTATGCTTGTGAGGCATCAAATGTATGTTGTTGGTCGTGTAACTACGGATGCCATCAGTGTTTGAGGTTAGTTGTATCGGATTATGTTTTCGGACCAAACGACACGAACTAGATTTTGGGAGATGAACGACTTTGATGTGGCATATTTTCTCCAAGTTCGGGATTGCATGGAGACGTGAAGGTAGATCGATTAGGAAGTTTCCAGAACTATCCGTGTCAGTTTTCGCCCATGTTTTCTTCCTTTTCGATCTAGAACCGCACAAAACAGCTACTCTTGCACCTGCAATTAATTTAAGCACAACCAAATTAATGGATGTATTTTGGACTTAAATTTGATAAGAACAAATCAATTAGGCTTGGTGCAGAACAAATCAACTTTGACCATTATCATATGCGAAAATAAATCTTTTAATATCAATTGACCAACAGAAATTGGTGCAGCGTTTGGCAGTTCTCCACTATGTTTCTTTCAATTGGGAAAACGGGAAAAAGAAGGAACAAAAAAGAAATCGCTTAGCGGCGAATATTGAAATGGCATAATCGAAGATAAATTTATTTGGAAATGGAATGAAGTACAATTTGGCAGTTGATTTGACTTCTAACAAGTCAAAACACTATAAAATGCAGGGGAAAATAATCCAATATTGTGGCCTGGCTCAATAAGAAAAGAGTAAGTGGCAAATAAGCAATTAAGAAAAAATACTGATCCTAGGGGTTAAATGTTAATTTGCTCTACTTGGTTTTGAGAACACAACTTCAAATATAATCTTCAATTTGGTTTAATAGAAAGATAAAGAAAAAAAAAAAAATTAGATGAGCATCAAGATAAAAAGATTAATTATTTCAATTTATTACTAATAAAATACAAATAAAAAATAAAAACAACCTGAGACTGGATAGGAATCTGTTTTCTCTCCCGCACCACCACCACTGCAGAGAATTTTGCCGCCAATCACGACCGTCGAGAGCTTTTCTTCCCCGTAACCGGCCCACTGCACCATCTCATCCCTCCCAGAAGAAAATATATCCGCCAAAAAATCCGATTCCTGAGCGGCCATGGCCGACCACTCCATGGAAACGAGAACGATAAACACGAATAAGAACATCATGCTCTTGGCAAAATTGTTTTGTCCAAGAAAGCAGCCCATAATATTTGTGTTGTTGAGCAATTTGTTTTTCGCTAGTTTAATTTAATTTTATCATACCACCTTTAGGGAAGGTTTTTAGGAATATATATTGAGAGCCTTCGCATGGTTCGCATGCCCTTTTCGTGGACTTGATTTTACAATTTTGGGTTTGTGCCAAATTTTTTTATTTGATGTTTACCCGTCCAACTTTAGATTATTTCTTTAGATTTTAAACAGTGCTTCAGACGTAGTGAAGGTGGTGGGATTTCCAGTTACGGTCAGCCAATTGCAAGATTATGCATGTTATTACATTTCATAAATATTTATTTCTATACCAATCACTTGTTACATGAATTTTATCACATATAAGTATAGTTCTTAGCACATTAATTAGTTAATTTAAATTTGTTAATTCAAGTTAGTTGAATGAATTAATTTGGGTTTAAAATTAATCATGATTTTTGAATAGAAACATATACTTTTACAATAAATTATTATTCTTATATATAAAATATATGCCATTACTTAGTATTTTCAAAAAATGTATTCGTCTGGAGTGTTGGATGGAATGGAGGACGCTGGCAGCCTATTGATATTAGTCAATTTTGATCTGAATATTTAGCCTAAAGTGAAGGGTTTTGGGTTAACTTAGTCAAATTTTCGAAATTAATTTGTGNTCATTGAAAATTAGTTTGGTTAATTTATTAAAAAAAGGTTTGGAAGTTGAGAAATTTGAAGGCAAACTGTTTGGGTTGGTAGCCTAATTCTCATCTCCTATACGTATTAAAGAGGTTAAATAATTAATAATAAAACAGCCAAACTTAAGATCCATCCACGTCAGTGCCCTTTGGTAAACTAGCATTAGCATCTGAGTCAATTTGTCAAGCCCTCCCCAACTATATCAATCTATGGAATGCATTTCAACAAAAATCTCACAAATTGTCCACTTTGATGATTTGCATAATACTAAAAATAGTTGGTCAAAAAACAATTGTTCATTCCAACGTTAGTTACCTAAATAAACCACGTTTTGTATCTTTTGTACATATTTTTCTATTATTATCCTTATCTAGCTAATAAATGCACTACGTATTTTTTATATTCACTCTTCATCTTTTCTCAAAATATTCATCTCTATCCTAGATATATTATTGAAAAAAAAAAAAAATTCTTAATTACTGTGCAACTTCTAAAAGTATACTTTAAACAATTGGACTGGTATCCTTTAATTTAGTGTCAAGTGTCATTTTCAATAGTTAATTAAATAAAAATTTAAAAAAAATCCTGTTTGTAAATACTAAAAGGCATTTACTTAAAAAATGTCAAGAATTAACATTATAAACTTTTAATTAAATTGTTTATAATGTGTGAGTCACTAAAGGCAAAGCCGATGTAAAAGTTTTGCTCGTATAAATACCCACGAGCCCATACGTCTCCCCAAAATACAACTTTGATTATGTATATAGCGCAATTGGAGATATACTAAATCCCAAAATACAACTTTAATTATGTATATACCGTCCCATAAAATATTTTGACCTTTTATTCCATAAAAATACTAGGCTCTTATTTAGAGGGATCGATACTCATCTCTAATTACACAAACTTAACTAATCAAATAAACCATCAGGATCGTAAAGTCTGTTTTTACAATGGCACCACCAAATGTACCTAATCCAATCATTGCCAGGATATGGCGGCGACCTCAATTGTTTACTCCGGCACGGTCTGCACCCTTCGCACTTCCCCTTGCAGTTTGGCGGCGGCTGTGGCGGCGGCGGGTCGAAGATAAAGCCGTTCTGTAAGTCAACCGCCGCCTCACCGTCTGCCTTCGATTCCAGAATTTGACGATTTGTGGCCCGTGCATTAATATCATTTGTGGCAAAAATGATAACAGAGGAAAGGAGAAATATTAAGATGAAAATATTGGTGGGCTTCATCTTATTATTTGTCTTGTTTATAGAAAATGATATTATTGGGATGTGTGAATTAGAGTATTATTATTCTGGTATAAATAGTATATCGATTATCGTGTGCAATTAATTAAATTGTAATCCTTGTCGTAAATGAAATTAGCCGGGTTTATCTTTAAGAATTTGCACACGCAGAAATTTTGGGTGTAATTTGAAAGGAATAAGATATGCATACAATCAATTAGGAAATGAGATAATATTTCATTTTGTAATCACTCATTCCATCTTTATTCTATAATATCCAGCCACTTTTGGAATAAGTTGGAAGCATTTAAACCATTGAAATCATATTACTGTCGCCCCAATTACAAGACATTCTTTAGTGTAGGCCAAAAAAAATTTTAACCCGGAACTGCATATTATTGTAGCTATTATTGAAATCGAGTAGATATGGTCATGGGCCAGGCCGGCTACCGGTTCGGCCCGAACCGGCACAAACCGGCCCGTTTACCATGGGTTTTGAACCGGCCCGTGATTTTGACCAGTTCAGATCATGTTCAATACTTTATAGTTTATACATTTTGAACTGACGGTTTCGATTTCAAACTGGAACCAAAATGGGAACCGTAGGTTCGGCCTTTATTTTTAAAAAAAAATAAATAATTATATTTATTTCTTTTAATAAAACGGGCGGCAAAGAACCGAGAGCTCAATGAATCGGCCAGTGTATATGTTTGGGCTGGCGATTTCAACCCAGAACTGGTTTTGCCATGATTAGAACTGAATTATCTATCAACATATTTCGATTCTCATTGTGAAAACTCAATCGCAATTCTTTTAGACATTTAAACAAGTCAAATTCAAATAGGCCTACCTCGTAAGCTTAGTGGGCTACTCTTCCTTCCACAAATTAGTTTTGGGATGGAACCTCATTATGACACATCTAGGCTCCCTTTGTCATGGTGCGCTTCCATTACGTGAGACCACACCCGTTTTGCCCATGATTCTTATATCATAATTGCCATATTGTGCTAAAAGTAGATCAAATGAACCCTTTAACAAACAAACTTAGCAAATTTGACGGTCATATCTGAAGTTCAACCCAATAATTTTACATCAAGCCGCTAAGCATTGTCTTCAATAATCAGGCTCGGCCTATGGGTAGTTAGTTATTTTTTTTTTCTTCTTTTTAAGATTAAAATATAAAGTGACATTATATTACAATAAAAAATATATGATTATGTCATGAAATATAAAAATAATAATAAATTTTGTTTCAGTCGTTTTTTTCTTTAACTAGTATGTGGCCCGTGCGATGCACGGGTAAATAATATTAAATAATATGTATAATATGTATTCGTTTAGAATTTTGAGTGTCACTTTGAGATTTTTTAAGATTTGAGACTTTTAAGATGATCAAATTTTAGAGGAATACTATGAAATCTTAAGTGTGAATGTGAGATTTAGAATGAAATTTTGTATAATTTTTTTTTCTTTTAAATCATAACTAAAGACCTAACAAATCTTGATCTCAAATAAGTTAAATATTTAAGGATATTTTAAGATTTTTTTAATTTTTATATATCAAATGAACAACTTTTGTTACCAAAAAATATGGACACAATTTTGAATTTACATCCCATCCAAATATCAGTTTTATTCTAAAATAAAAATTGCACGTGGTATTATCCAATTTACTCACTTTTTTAAAGAAAAAAATTATTCAATAGGATTAGAAGAATTGGTTAAGAATTATACAACTATTTGTTTCCAAAATTTGTATCCAATTTGTACGGTTTTTAAGTTAATTTGTATTTAGAATTTTTTTTATAAATAATTAACACATTTTTTGCACAAAAATCTCCAAATTTGTAACCAAAAAATATATGATTTAAATATTAGTAAAAAAAATAAAATATAATACGAAAAAAATAGAATTCAAATTTTGTCATAAGAATTTCCAAATTAGTTACCAAAAAAATAGGATTCAGATTTTGTTACTAAAGATTCACATGTATTTTTTTTAACTTTCCATTAATAGTAAGTCAAACATTATTTTTTAGGTCAACCTTACTATTTTTGTATTTTTCCAACAACCTCTTTATATTACTATAGATTTCGCTTGATTAGGATTAATTGATGACATAATCTCACTTTTTTTAGTTGTGGAAATATTTTATTATATGGATAAAATGATGATATAATATCACTTTATGGAATATCACTTGTGAGTTGTCCTATATTGGTTCTATAGGGAAAATGAGTTTAGCTTCCAAGCCTAGTGGACTACTCATCTCATCACCAATTGGTTTTGGAATGGAACCTCATGACTACGATGCACATATGCTCACCCTTTTATGATGCATTTCACCTGCGTAGGACTGTACCCTCTTTCCCCCGATTCTTATATGGTATCACAGTCAGGCCAGCCCCGACCTGGGTCTATATCTACCCAGTTTGCTCTGGGCTTGGGCTTATGAAGGATTCCCAAGTGAAGAGGCGTGTGCCTGAGTTTATATCTACCCAGCCTGTTTTAGGCTTGGGCCTGCTCTGGGTTTAGGCTTATGAAGGATTCACAAGTGAGGGAGCGTATTGAAATATCACTTATAAGTTATCCCAAATTGACTCTCTAGAGAGAACGAGCCTAGCTTATAAGCCCAGCGGGCTACTCTTGCCATCACGCTCTGTGGCCTACCCAGTCTGCTCTGGGTTTAGGCTTATGAAGGATTCACAAGATAGGGATCGTGTTGGAATATCATTTATGAGTTGTCTCACATTGACCACATTGATTCTCTAGGGAAAATGAGTCTTGGTTATAAGTCTAGTGTGTTATTCCTCCCATCACGCTCCAGCCTGAGTCTATATCTACCCAGCTTGCTCTGGGCTTAGGCTTATGAAGGACTCACCAGTGAGGAGCGTGTTGGAATATCACATGAGTTGTCCCACATTGATTCTCTAAGAAAAATGAGCCATAGTTGAAAAATAAGCCTAGCTTAAGCCTAGTGTGTTCCTTCTCTCATCACCAGTTGGTTTTGAGATTGAACCTTACTACGGTAATCTCTCCTTCAATTCTTATGATGCATTTCATCTGTGTGGAACCGCATCTCTTCCCCCATTCTTACATCACTTTGTTTTTATAATAGAATGTGTTCATGTTAACCCAACACAACTATAGTACTATTTATTATTAGTGCATCACATAGTCAATC